GATGTCACGCATCCAACACAACAAGAAGAGCGCCAAAATATTCCGTCTATAGCCGCTGTAAGTTTTCGCTGCTGTGATTACACTTACGTAGGAGGAGCGTGCACAACAACGACGCAGTGTTGCGTCTTCCAAAAAAGTGTTACATTGTTATGAGATGTAGCTTAACGAAATAGCACGTTCACAGATTGTGGCTAATCTCGATCTCTATCCGCAAACCTTTGGTGCAAACATCAAAATCCAGCGCAAATGTCGCGAATCAGTGGTTTATTTGCTCGATGCAGTCCGTGAACGCCTTGTGGGCTTTTACAAAGCAACAAATCAGAAACCGACTCGTATCATCGTCTATCGTGATGGTGTCTCCGAGGGCCAGTTCAGTGAGGTGAATGTGAATAAATGCTGGGTTATGTAATTCTTTTTCAATGCAGTGTTTGGAACACAGAAAATTAATTACCAGACGAACCTTCGTCGTGTCTAACGATGTTGCTGAGGGAAAGATGCACATGAAGCACACTCAGCCACTCTCTTTTTTGATAATCTCTGACCAAATGAAGTTCACAGCGTGACAGCTATATAGCGAAGAAACTTTGCAGTTTTTTGACCATAGCATGTTAGTTCACCTGCGGCGGTCATAGCATTCGTTTCGTTTCTTGAAGGGATTAGTAGCTCACGGTTCTTTTGGTGGAAATTCAGTGCTGAGCGTCACTATCTCGAACTTTTCTACCTTAACGGTTTTTTTTGGGGCCAGCACTTAACGTTTTTACATCTAGCATTTTTTTTTTTGTATTTGACGAAAAAGGATAGGGAGGTAACTGATAACCCTTCTCTCAAGTAAACCAAAAGTTATTTCAGCGCAATGATCCACTGTGCTTCAGATCTCAGAATTTGCTACTGCTTAACAGGACGTTTCATTTGCTTATCAAACAGTCCTGAGGAACTGATCAAATAACCAATGAATATGAGTTTTAAAGTGAGGCAAAAATGCAGGTGCTGCATGAAGAAATGCAGGGCATACGTGCTGCGTGCTTGATGCTCGCAACCGATTTTCGCCCTCCGATTACCTACATCGTAGTACAAAAACGTCACCATGCCCGTATGTTTTGCAAGTATGCGCAGGACGCGGTAGGAAAAGCAAAAAACATTCCACCTGGCACAACTGTCGATACGGGAATTGTCTCGCCGGAGAGTTTCGACTTCTATCTGTGCTCACATTTCGGCATCCAGGTTACCATGATCTTTCCATTTTTTCTTTTTTTTTTGGAAATTTTACAGAAGCGAAAAGAGATGAAATGCAGAGAATGTGTTGAACAGTGCAACTAGAACTGTGTTAGCCATAACAGTGTAAGTTGTAGTAAACCTAATTTACTATGACATGGGTTTTACCAAATGAATGCAGTAGAGGAGTACGGCAATCGAGAGTAATTTGGGATAAATGACGAATTTTCTACCACCATTGTCCTAATTTGGGGCCTACTTCGAATCATTAGGATTCGTATCTGCCGTGCTTTGACTTCGCCCGTTATCTTTTGAATTAAAATAGGCTTCTTTATTGAAGTCGAACGCTCTCCTTTTGTTTCCCATAGAACCATTTGCTTTTCAGGGTACCTCGCGCCCAACGCGTTATCACGTGCTGTGGGATGATTCAAAATTCACGTCTGATGAGCTACAGACTATCACGTATAGCATGTGCCACACGTATGCTCGTTGCACTCGATCAGTTTCATTACCGGCACCGGTTTATTATGCTGATCTTGTTGCTACTCGTGCACGATGTCACCTACGACGAAGAATGTACGTCCTCCTCAAGCACTATTTGTGACATATGAACTTCAGTAGTCCATTGATTTCAACTAATACTAAACATTATTACAACTAATACTAAACATTCTTGCTGGTACTTTTTTCTTTGCTCCTTTCAAGCCATCACCCCTCCCCTCTATCTTACATGGCCTAAGCAATAGCCAAAGGATCTACGTCGCATAGCCATTCAATGTACCCACCCAACCTGCTCCCCTACTTCAAACCCCTGCGCGCGAAACCCATACACACCCCTCCCCCTCTCATCCCCATCACAACCCCTCCCCGCGTCTCAAACCCAACGCCCAAAAGTGTGTTCATGCATTTCCAACCCTGTTCTCCCCCATTCTCCTCCTCCACCCTCCCCTCGCCCCTCTATGCCCTCTACGATGTACATCCCTTCGAAGCTCTTCCCATACTCCGCGCATCCGCGACAAAAACAACAACAAAGGTCTTGCTTGTTTCCGCCCATCACCCCGCCCCCTTCTCTCCTACGTGGCCACTCGATGTTCCCACCCAACTACTTCTTCTTCCGTACTTCCGAGCCCGCGGCTACTACTTTCGCGCATAGCCTCCCCTAACCCCTTCTTGGCCCCCAACCCTCTCCCCTTGTTCGCCCTTCCAGTTCTCTTCCCCCCGTGCTTCCCTCCCTTTCATCGCCTCTTATTACGCAGTCTGCGGATAAATTTGTAAACCGTCTAGCTGCTGAGTTCAAACCGAGGCGGCCGAGATGAAGCCGAGGCGAGCGGATCCGAGCCGGGCTTTAGTAATGGCGTTATTTCTAGAAAAACAAAAAGAAAGCACCATAGCAATTTTTTGCTTGCAGGGGCGTTTGCGAACTAGATGTAAAGTCGGACGCCGCATCACTGATTTCCTCGTCGCTATCATCATTGATCACTGCTGGACGTATCGAAGGCCTGAAAAATGTTATCCAGGATGGCGAACTTTCTGACGTTGAAAGCGGCAATGTTAGCCTTTTAGTTCACTCAGACTTAGTCGGCTCAAGGGCAACGTCGCAATGTTCAAAGTGCGAAGACAGCCCTGGGACCTCACAAAGAAATTTTGGTCATGACAATTCGTTTATTGGCTTTTAGCTTCAGATTTATTAGGTGGCATCTCGCAGCAAACAAGAGCTGCGCGATCATATGTTCTTGCTGACAGTGCAAATAGCTTTTGAAAAAGATGACGAAGAGCGCTGCACCGTTACCGCAGCGCAG